CCCAACCAGGGACTGAACCCCGGGCCCACGACAGTGTAATTTCTTTCATTATGTGAAACATACATGCTTATTATTTCAAACATTCAAGCAATACGTAAAAGAGTAAAAACAACGAGATCTTGTCTCCCCCCCAACCTGTCACTGTTAAAAATCCCTTGTCTCTATTCTTCAAGATTTTCACAGCTGTTGAAAAGATTCTCTGCTCACCTCCCTGCCACCATGTCTACCTGTCTTGAGCGTAACATATATACTATTCTCTAATCTGCTTCCGACATTTACCAAATGTCTTGGGCATATGTGCACATCCACTACAGCTTGTTTTCATCAGGGACGTGGAACTCCACTGCTTAAATGCCTGCCTTTATGTTAAAATGAGAATTCACCAGGTAAAAGAAAGAAGATTTTCCTATTTCTAATGTATTTCACTTAAGCTTCACTACGGTCTCCTGCTGTCACAGCACAGAACCAAAAGAACTCGCATTTCATACTCCATGCAAGAGGGTTTCCTTACAACCAGGAGCTCCCCCTTCATAGCTTATGTATGAAAGGTCATAACGTAAAACTCTGGACAGAATTTTAGCAAAGGTCCATGTGATTCTGTTTTCAACTCCATACATAGCATTGTTCCTTCCGAAGAGTTACAGCTGAGTTTTTTCTATATTGCCCTCACAGAGACTAAAATCTTAGGGTGCAGATATTGTTACTTGTTGGCATTATTTCCCCTCTAATGGTACCTGATACTTGCGATACACTTGATTCATAAATTATTGAATGAAGAGTAGATAAACATGCAAATTCAGACTTACTGTTGAAAGTTTATTTAAAAGATGATAAAACTAAAGACTGTGTATGATGAAAAAATATTAAAACCTGTTTGTCAATTGTCTACCTTTAACACAGAGGGAATTATTCATCTCCAACTTAAAAGTTACTGTGGCATTTCTACCAGGAGTCTTCCCAAAATCTCCACTTACAGTGAGGTGCTCAGTGAATAATAATTGAGTTAAACAAGCGAAACTCTGGGGAATCTCAACAGCTTCCACAGTTTATTCCTGATGCCCTGCATGAGCATACGATGCCATTTTCTCAAAGACGTTGCTCTAACATTATATTAATTAGAGCTTCGGCGCTGATAAAGCAACAGGCTTCATACTGCAGGATGCCCAAGAGGTGGGGTGAGCACAGAGCTGCTCACACTTTACATTTTTGAGGGCGAAATTGCCTTTTTCAGTACCTAAGGAATTTTGAAACCCTGTAATTTTGTCTCTCTGGCAACCTGCAATTTTTCATTTTTTTTTAACATCTTTTTTGGAGTATAACTGCTTTACAATGGTCTGTTAGTTTCTGCCGTATAACAAAGTGAATCAGTTATACATATGTTCCCAAATCTCTTCTGTCTTGCGTCTCCCTCCCTCCCACCCTCCCTATCCCACCCCTCTCGGTGGTCACAAAGCACCGAGCTGATCTCCCTGTGCTATGCGGCTGCTTCCCACTAGCTATCTACCTTACGTTTGGTAGCGTATACATGTCCACGCCACTTTCTCGCTTTGTCACAGCTTACCCTTCCCCAGTAACCCAGGGAAAAGGAGGCTTAGCGCTGAGTCCACATTCCTGTAGCCATCAGGAAGTTTACTTACATGTATTCCGGTTTCAAAGCCACTTTACCTTAGTCTCACAAACAAAGTCTAACAGTGTAAAAATGCAGAGTGTTTGCATTGGACCCAGAGCTAACACAGCGCTTCCCGTCCACCTCATCACCTTCATCTTCTCATTTCTTCTTTCTTCTGACTCTACTGCCTTTAGACTCGGTTACCTGGACCTTCTCATTAGCCAAAAAGATCCTTATATTCTGACAGTTCATCTATCCATCCACTCATTCATTCATTCATTTATGATGTGTTGAGTATCTACCACGCATCCCATGCTAAGGATATAAAAGTATCTAAGACATCACAGTTTCTGAAGATTCAGTCTAGCAGCAGAGAAAAAAGGCACATCCTCCATTAATTACAATCCATTGTGACAAGATCGACAGCAGAAGCAAGGATCACGTGTCATGAGACCTTGGATACAAGAGTAATTCAGTCTGATGAGGAGGGTGAGAAAAGGCTACCTCTGAAGTTGGCCAAGTGGTCTCATCATTTTCCTCTTTCTCTATCACCTGCTTATCCTGCTTCCAGGTCTGCTGTAATCAATGGTTTATTTTTCTTTCTGCCTCAGAAAACTAAACTCTGTTAGACTGTGTTTTACATCTTTGCACCCCTAGTATCTATCACAGCATTATATATTAATTAATTAAGTAGTTAATGGGTTCATGTGCCTATCAGACAAATCTACTGAGCACCTACTAAGTGCCAGGCACTCTCCCAAGTGCTGCAGACATAACAGTGATGAGAGGCCAAGTCCTAGCCCTCCTGGGGCTGACAGTCTGGGAAACAGAACATAATCACCTGAGCCTATGATCTGTTTGGTGGCAACTGTGTTACAAGGAACGAAACAAACAACCGGATAAAAGTTGAGCTGATGGTGGTGTGGTGGGAACGGGTCGCCATATCCTTTGGGGCAAGCCCCGGAAGGTTGTTCTGTTAGATGATTTTTGAGCAGAGAGGCGAAACAAGCGGGGGAGTGAGCCATGCAGATTTCGGCAGGGGAATGTTCCAGTGGAAATAGTGGTGAAAGCACGTGGGCAGGGGCATGGTGGGCACATTAAAGGACCAGCTAGAGCAGGAGGGGGTCCCTGGAGATGAGGGCACAAAGGTGTGGGCACATTCCACGTGGCCGTCGCAGGACTCTGGAGTTTTCCCTGAGTGGGAAGAGAAGTTCCTGGGGCATTTTGACGGAGTGACACAGTCTGGTTGCTGTGGGAGAAACAGACTGTAGGGGCCACAGCGACGGGGCCAGGGAGGTGAGGAAAGAAGCTGATGGTCCCGGGAAGAGGCAGGGCGGTTTATCCAGGTGTAGAGGGACGGCAGCATTCTGGCTGCATTTAAGGTGAAGAAAGCAACCGCTGCTCTGCTGATTGGGAAGACTGAGTCTTAGGTGCTCATAAAAGTTGGATACATCATACACTGGGTTGGCCAAAAAGGTTTTTCCGTAAGATGTTACAGAAAGAGCCCGAACGAACTTTTTGGCCAATCCAATATATGAAGAAATGGCCATACTTCTCTTCCTTTCTCTCTCTTTCTGTCAAACACACACACACAGGGTAAGAATACATTACATTCCTGGTTAATACCAACAATGAACTGACATGATTTGTTCAAAGCAAAGGTCTGTCTTCCACTAGCCCAGCTGGAATAATTTGCTGTCTGAAAACTTAATCCAGGTATCACTGGGGAATTTACTGGGGAAAGACTACAGTATTTACAGTTAGATGGTCAGGGTTTAAGCTCCAGTACTATCTACTACTGCGTGAGCTTAATTCTTCTATTTCTCAGCTTCTTACCTAATAAAGTACTGGACCTCCTGGTAAGGATTCCAAAGATAGTGACCAAGAGGAGAAATCTTTATCTCTGGAAAGCTGTTCACAGCATGTCCTTAGTCTAAGATTGCCTGTCAAAACCAAACCTAGGGGCTTCCCTGGCGGCGCAGTGGTTGAGAGTCCGCCGCCTGCCGATGTAGGCGACGCGGGTTCGTGCCCCGGTCCGGGAAGATCCCATGTGCCGCGGAGCGGCTGGGCCCGTGAGCCATGGCCGCTGAGCCTGCGCGTCCGGAGCCTGTGCTCCGCAACGGGAGAGGCCGCAACAGTGAGAGGCCCGCGTACCGCAAAAAAAAAAAAACCAAACCTAGGATCCAGGACTAATGAGCCCTTGAAAATGCCACGTAAGCCATGTAACGACTGGAGGAGAAAAGAGAGAGGTTTCAAAACCAAAACACTCCAGAGAAGGAAAAGGGAATCCAGAAATCTCTCTTCCATCTCAGTCAATGTTGGAGAGAAATGGCTGACGTTCGACTGTGATGTTCCCCATCAATATTCAGAGTTATTTTTCCACTCTTCTGCATGCGTAATATGACTGCCTGCACCCCAGATGCCTCCAGTCTTGGGCAGACACAAGGCTCTCTTGTTGGCAGTGGTTCTCAACCTTGGCTGTAAATTCGAATCACCTGGGGGAGCTGTGCCCCACCCCGATGTTCCATCTGCATCCCAGAAAAATTAAGTCAGAATCTCCAGGCTGGGGGGGAACTGGGAGGCAGACACTGACATTTTACAGCTCCCAGGTGATTCCAGGGGGGCAGACAAGGCTGAGATCCAATACCAGATTAGGGAGCTTCCATCAGATCGATGCGCGACCTCCTTTAACATGGATTTGCTCTAATGTGAGGAAATACAGCATTTTTGAAATATTGGTAGACAATTCTCAATTAGGTTTTTATGTTATGTTAATTTTGGCATTTTTCAAAAGCAAGTTTTAAGCTTTAAATTAGCCCCAAAGACCACTAAACAGAATAATTACTGACATCTCCTTTTACTTCATTTTTGCCCTTAACTGAATCAGCAAAAATTTCTTGCATGTAAAACTACCGAATTTATTTGTTTATGTGGTTACTTACTTGATTATTCACTTAATCGTTGCCTGCTTGTTTCCAAAAGAATGTAGTAAAGTTTCATTCACATTTATACGATCTGGGTCACAAGCAGAGAATAGTAAAAGCTCACTGGATCAATAAAGAAAGTGAAAGACAGGATGTAAAAGTAAAAGAAAGGATGGCTGCCTAATGCTCTATAATTGATACAACATTGTTTTGCTTATTTGTTGAATACTATTCATGTTCAAAAGCATCTTCTTTAGGGCAGAGACTTGAACTCCATTATTTACAAACTATAATGTGAGTAATTAACAAACATTAATGTGTCATTATCCAAGCCTGTTAACTTGAAACACATCATTGTTCTGATCATCATCAGTTACATGTGCATTTTGCTACTGAGTTTGGAGCCCATAATTGGTTCCCCTTCCACTTGATGTCACCCACGCTCACCCGGTCATCATAGCTCTTACCAGATGGAGCAGGGTCCCTCCTGAAGACATGGGCATGTGCGGGTCAGCGCCCTCCTTCAGGAGCCGCAGCGCTGGAAGAATGAGAGCGGAGAGTTACACGGCATCTTTCTTCAACATCCTGAATCAAAAGGTGTAGCATTTCATTAGTATCTAAATCTCAAATAGCCATGAAAGCCAAAGGAGATGCATGAATTGCCATCTGACCTTTTTGTGTATTTAAGATCGGCAGTGTTTCCCTTCACATTGAAACTTATTTCTTGGTTTGTCAGCATCACCACCCATTACAGCCATGCAAATTATTCAGAAAGGGGAACACACTTCTTTTGCATTTATTTTTTTGAAGTGCCTGGCTTGTGCATCCTTTATAGAACAAAAATAAATAAATAAAAAGGAAGAAATGACTCCACTAGGCTCATGTATGCTTTAGTTCACTTCACTTTTTTTTTTTTAACTCATTAGGACTTATTGGCTTAAAACAATAAAAGTTTACACTTTGTACATTAAACTTCCCTTCCTGCAATTACCCCTTAGCCCTGTTTCCATCATTCTCCCAAAGCCATGTGTATCTAAATTAGTAATGTCAAACAAATCAAAACAGATGCTACTCACCAGAATAAAGGCACAGCTGGAAAGTGACCTACGTTTCCATTTGAGCAACAAAGGTGGACTGGGTAGGACATGGAAAGCCCTTGGGAGGTGGATTATGTCTCATTCTCTGCAAATTGCCATGGGATCCAAGAGGTCCATCCATTCCCCAAGACACTATCCCAGTTTCCACGGTTAACGGCAGTATTGTAGCTTTCATAACAAGCCATTCATGCTTTTTCCACAAATAACTAAAGCAACAGTTCCTCTTGTAGTCCATTCTTACACAGAATGGTACAAAATGGTTCAGATTCAAACTCATACCTCACTGAGCATACTGTCTTTCCTTTAACTTTCTCCATAATCCGCAATGTCGGCAGAACACATACTCTTTTCTACGTCACCCCAAATCTTCCCTGTGTTCCAATCTCTAGTTTGTTACCATCGTCCCAGCTCTAACTGTACAGCTCAGAGGGCAGACACATCTTGTTCCCTCACATACTTTTACCCTTAATTTTAAAAAGTCTGTTCGTGACAACAGAAAGTTCATTAACTATGTTTACCAATGGTTTTGTCAGAATCAAAAGAGCACTTTTACCCTAATATTTATTTGTTTAGCAAATGAAATCATTCATCTTGAACTAGCTGATATCTGCTTGGTGCTTTGTATTCTCTACAGCAAAGAATTTGTACTAGCGTGATCACAAATAGAGAGGAAGATTATATTATATAGTTCAAACATGAGTAAAACGCTGTCAGATTTCTACACAGAATCCACCATGCACACATGTGGTGAATTACACATAATATAGATCTGTGATACACTGGCCTTGGGGTTAGACAGATTTGAGGCCGAGCCCCACTGGGAAAGCTAACCCACCCTCCTGGCACTGCATGAGGATCACTAAATGATTTTTATTAGTATAATTACTATAAGTCATGAAACCCATAATAATATATCACTGAACACATATCTTAAGGTTTACTCTAAATTTTCGCAAAACCTTTTGATTATTAAATGTTGAATTTAAGTGTAGGATATAAGCAACACAAATTTACCAATATTCACTGAAGGATGCGTGTACAATTTGTAAGGCAGGATAAAGAGGGTGAAGAGGACAATGCAGGGGATGGTGGGAGAATGATGAGTAAGGGGCAGTGAACAGTCCCTTAGGAGTGGCAGATTGTGTGTGACTTGGAGGCATTTGTTGTGGAGGATATTTTACATCACACTACAGGAGTTGGAAGTCATTCTGTGGCCAATGAAGAGGATCACAGGATATTAAGCAAAGGAGGAAAAGATCCCTTAGGTAAGTGCTATGGACTGAATGTATGTGCCCCCCCGCCCCCCACAAATTCATGTGCTATGGACTGAATGTATGTGCACCCCCGCCCCCCACAAATTCATATGTTGAAGCCTAATCCCCAGTGTGATGGCATCAGGAAGAGGGGCATTGGGGAGGTGATTAGGAGGTAATGAGGGTGGAGCCCCCACGATGGGATTAGTGCCCTTATAAGGGGAGGAAGAGACTAGAGCTCTCTCTCTGCCAGGTGAGGACACAAGGAGAAGAAGGTCATCTATGAACTAGGAAGCTGGGTCCCACCAGGAGCCAAATCCGCTGGTGCCTTGATCCTAGACTTCCCAGCCTCCAGCACTGTGAGAAATCCAAGTATTTTTTAAGCCACCCAGTCTCTGGCATATTTGTATATTTGTCAGTCTGCAGCCTGAGGAGACTAAGACAATAAGAGAGGTCAGCACAAAGGCTAGAGGGGGGTTTCTTGCTCCCACTTGCAGTTTAAATCCTGAATAAAGGTTCAGGCTCAGATGAGAGGGGTGATTCAGTGCAGCTTGAGGGTTCATGGCTCTGTTTCAGAGGATGCAAAATGGACTGACCAGCCTGGGACACAACAGGGATCGGAGCCACCACTGCAGAAAGAGGGGTCCATGGCAGCACTGACAGCCAAGGTGGGACTGAGCCATCTAGTTCAGGGAGACCATTTACAAAGCACAGAACATGCATGGGTAATCTCCACAGGAGCAGGTGGGCCACACTGGTGTGCTTGTGAATGCTCAACGGCAGATGGAGATGGAGATGAGATGGAGATATTTAGATGATGGATGGATGGATGGATGGATGGAAGGAAGGAAGGATGGATGGATGGGTGGACGGATGGATGGATGGATGGATGCAAGGATGGATGGATGGGTGGATGGTTGGATGGATGGATGGATAGATGGATGGATATGCACTTAGGAATTTACTACACATTTTACTGCTATAAAGGCTGTGCAGCCCACAATTTATTGTAATATCCATATAGCCAATTGATTCTTACAGAATGATTTAGATAATTTTTACTAAAAATTCCTGTATCCACAGCCAATCTACGGTTACAATTAATGAATGTGACCTTGAAGTTTTGGTTGATATTTTCATTGACATTACTGAGTATGGGCCAGAGGTCAGGAAACTATGAGTGGCAGGCCAAAAGCCATCAGAGTATAGCCCTTGAACTAAGAACAATTTCTGCATTTTGAAGGGTGTGTGAGGAAAAACAATAATTAAAAAAACCAAAAATGTCCAGAAGAATGTATAACACGGACTGTATGTGATCACTAAGTTTAAAATATTTAATATCTGAGCCTCACAGAAAAGATTTCCTAACTCCTGAGTAAGATTAAAGTGAAATAATGAAGGACGTCAAAGCGTCATCCATCTATCAATGACCTGAATGACATCTTTGCTGAATCAGATATTAGTTTCTGAAAAATGTAATCATATTTTACCACATTTTGGCAGTGTTCACAATAGAGTGGCTACTGACACAATACATTTTTAAGTATAACCTGCATCATTAACATTTCCTCCATCACTTCTTTAATTCTAGACAATCATGAAGACAAATAAATCAAGCCCTGGTTTGTGGCACTGGCAAATTCTTGGGGTGTAATTCTCCCACCATGGTTGATCTCAAGCTACCAATGTGGCACCACTGAACCCAGAGTTGGCAGGAGATGTGACCCAGCTCACAATTTTGTGGCATTTCTATCACACACACAAAAGAGATGTAAATAACTTCAAGCACATAAAGAAGAGAAAAATGTAGTGAACTGATTAGGAAGTGATGAGCTTTGAGCTTTACCATCGTTTTTTATTAGAATCTACTTAATTGTAAGTTTATATACTTTAGTTTTTATTTATTGATTTATTTTTAAATCCTGTGGCTTTTTCTTTTTTTTTTTTTTTTTTTTGGCGGTACGCGGGCCTCTCACTGTTGTGGCCTCTCCCGTTGCGGAGCACAGGCTCCGGACGTACAGGCTCAGCGGCCGTGGCTCACGGGCCCAGCCGCTCCGCGGCATGTGGGATCTTCCCGGACCGGGGCACGAACCCGTGTGCCCTGCATCAGCAGGCGGTCTCTCAACCACTGCGCCACCAGGGAAGCCCTATACTTTAGTTTTTAATATAGCCTTTGTTTAACTGTTTTACAACCAACTCATGAACTCCTGACATTTCAACAAGCGGCTTTCAGGGTCTATGAGAGTAAAGCCCCAGCACAGTACGGGGAGTGGCCCCGAGGTGGATTAGGGGATTGGCCAAGGGCGCCCAGGAAGGACTCTGTACGCAGCCACCGCAGAGCTCCCTTCCTGCCACAGTGAGACTGACGAATAAGCCCCGGCCCTTCCTTCACCCAGCCAGACATCAGCCTCAGGAGAAAAGGAGGGGGAATCTGGCATCTTCTTTTCCTAGGTAGAAGACTGTTTTCTGACAAATTGTTCACACTATCAGACAGAACTAAAGCAGAACCGGAGACTGGATACAGACCGGTATTTGCCCCCAAATACCACGGGTGCAGCGCAAGAATAAGACAACATCAACTTTTGACTAAATAAGGAGGAAATGTGTTCTTCACATACACACGCTGTAGACTGTGCTAAATCCTATGTCTCTGCTGAGGGTTAGAAACGGGACACTGCCTAAGGTACCGAGATGTAAAAATATATTTAAGAAAATATCACTTGCATAATAAGTACACACTGAGCTTTTCTAAGTACGTAGGATCTGATACTGTTCTCAGTACTTTAGTACAAGAATTACATCGATTCTCCCAACTCAATGATACAAATACTATAATTGTATTAGTATCAATACAACTGATAAGGAAACTAAGGCTTATAAATTATGCGAAGGAAACTGAGGCTTAAAAATTATGAGATGGTAGCGTGGTGGATCTAAAACTGCGGTGGCCTTATGACTCCAAGGATTGTGTTCTTAACCATGAAGAGCATCAGGACACTTTACCTCTCATGTCACAAGGGAGTTGAAAGGTCACCTTCAACTCAGGAACCACAACAGGAATCAAGATCTATGTTAATGTCCTCATAATAACTAATTTTGTAGGAAACTGTCCAAATTTAGGTTAAAACACTTTCTCCAAAAAGGTATGGGTTCATAGCAACTTTGGAACAACACGGTTGGAATCGACA